CTATAAACAAAACCGAAACAGGGTTAAAACGAGAGTGATTGTAATTATATTTTGGAGCATAAGTTCGGGTAAAAACTTCGTTTCACTTTAATTCTAATGTCTGTCTCTTTCGAGAAATGTACGATAAGGGTATTGATATGGCGTGAATGGATTTATGATTTAGGACAAGACACTCTTACTTGATCTCTTGTTGCCCCTTGGTTACAAAGTGACAGTCGACGTTAGAATTATTAATGACTTAACCGATTTAAACTGTCAGTGGCCTTTTTTGAAAGACAACACCTTAACCAATCTTCTCGCTCCTCTGGCTCAATTGTATCCGCACTCTGTTCGCAGAACTTCTGAAGAAACAGCCGCCATCTGACTAACTTTTCTCGAGAATTTGTCACAAGAGTCTCGCGCTGAGAACCAGGGAAATAAATGCGAAAATAATCTGGTAGTTATGAAACTTTATACGACTACAGTTAATCTTAACCCAAACCTTTCATCATATCGTCTTTGTTCAACCACCTTGTGATGTATTATTAGTCTTTATGTTATAAGATAAAGCGCTAAACCCTCGCCCCTGGGGGTAGAGTGTCCTTCGTATAAATAAGAACCTAAACTTGTTAATTTATTACTTTCGACATGTATACGTGCAACACATTAGAAATACTCGTTTTGTTTTGGGGATGGGATCCTGTCCTTGTCCAATAACCATTCGTTGCTGTATAACATTCCAAGTCGTCTTTAAAATGAACTGGCTCATCGTCACACCATTCGGCGTTCTCCACGTGGCGCGTAATTACACAGAAACCTCACAACGGTCGTCAAGTAGTGCAAGCACAAACGTCATGCAACGGTTCCAATAATTGTTGGAATTACATTTGATGGAAAATGCCTCTTTTTCTATGGTAAATTTACAAACAAACAAACTAGAAATGTTTGGTTTGATAAACGTAATTACTGGTGTAATTTTCTATCTTCTGTTTAAACGAGGTAAGTACTATTTGTATACATGAGATTTATCTTATAATTTACTATATTTTGTTTGACAGAGATATTAGCTATCTGAATTCATATAATTAATATACGGAGAA